CAGACTTCCTGATCGATACAGACTACTTCATGGCTGTAGCTGTTCTCTCAGCTCAAAGAAGCAAAGACCCAAACACTCAGGTATGTGTCTCTCTGCATAAGCACTAAAGCACTAAGAATGATTGTTAGATACTTCACAATAAGCTTGTATCCAACATCAGTTCTCAGAGGTGTGTACTATGAAGGAAGTCCAACATAGCTTTCTCTGTGTGAGCTGGTTCAGCAAAACCTAAATCCCCAGTTAGAGATGGTGGATATCACAATGGTTGCTGTCAACTTCCTTTGTTAAGCCGGTCTTTCTGCTTCAGGCTCTGTGCTGACTCACAAAAGTAGGAAGCATTCACACATCATTTCTCTGCTTCTGCCCAAAATGATCCCAGTGAGTGCCACCTACTGCAGTCAGAGGCATTGTTAGATGATGGTAAAGTGGTGATAAAAATCTATAAAATAAGTTAAAAAATTTAAAAATGTTACACTGTTAAGAAAAGAGAAAAGAGATGACGCTGCAGAAAATCTTTCAGCTTGGTATTTACACCAGCACAAAAATCACCTCACCAAACAAAACCACACCTCTCCTCTCAGCTGACTCAGAAACCACACCCGGCTGCCACATGACAGTCTCAGATCACTTGTCTGTCCACCATTCAGCAACATGCCCTACCTTCTTGATTGTGAAAAAAGTGATAGTACTTGTGAGCTGGTTTAATAATATATAAAAACTGAGAGTATCAAAACAAAATTTTACATAATGAAAAATGAAATAAATAAATTTAATTTAAAAAATGTTTTTACACACAATATTTTAAGTTCAGCTTAACAAATCTAAATGCACGTGCACAAATCACCTGATACACACAATTTCAAATTTCACTATGTCAGCTTCACACAGATTCACAAATTTAAACTGTCGCATGTTAATGTTGCAGTGGAACCTGTGACATCTGGGCCTCCTCTGTTTTCCTGTGTTTAATATGATCCTTGTGGATTATGTTAAACACATTTGTAACCTTTTGAGGTAAATTTCTCTCCCACATCTCTCTCTGTCTGCAGGTGGGGGCATGTTTAGTGAACCAGGACAATAAGATAGTTGGCACTGGTCACAATTGTATGCCCAATGGCTGTGAAGGCAAACTGCCATGGAATCGCAAAGGTGATAAACTTGACACAAAATACATGTATGGTGAGTATGCACTTCCACACACTTGTTTTTTTTCTCCTGTGTTATTCAGTTTGACTGAATTATTTCAAGTTTTAAATAATTTTGTTTAAGCAAAGCACTCCTGCTTTTATTAATCTAAATTCAAATTCAAATTTTATTTGTCACGTACACAGTCATACACAGTACGATATGCAGTGAAATGTTTAGACAACTGCTCGTGACCCTAAAAAAAAAAAAAGGAAAGGGCTATGAATAAGATAGGAAATAAATATGAAAA